TATTATTTTTCTGAACGTGTTCAAATAATTTATATTACATGTGATGTTTCAGCTTAAAAATAAAATATTAATAGATTGATTAAAACTATTTAAATGTTGACTTTAATTTGGTAATTTGGATAATAATTGAACAAAAATAAATATAAATGATTTTAAGATTTAAATAATATTTTTATTTAAAATAAAAATCCAGATCGAATTATTTCATTGGATATTTTAAAAGTGAAGGTGACAACTAAAAGTTATGTTGAAGATGATGGGAAACAAAATTTAATACACAAACTCTTTTTGCTAAATGGGTGGACCTTCTCTAATCTCTAATATATGGGTGCACCTATTAATTGCTATTTTATATAAAATATTTGGTATGCAGATATGATTGGACAGAACAAGACACAAAATAATAGGACTGAATTGAATAAGACTGTATATGATAAGTTATATGTCTGATGTTTGATATAACTAAGAACAAAAATAGACAAGTTGTGCTTAAAAGATATTTTAAACTATGATCAATTACATAGGAATTTACAGCGATAAATTATATGAAAATTAAACATATTTGTTTAAAATATATAGCTCTTGGTTGAAAATGACATGGAAGAATACGTCATGCGGATTTTTTTTTAATTAACCTGGATATCCAAACCGCTATGCGAGCCGACTAATCCCAAGGCGACTACCTGCTTTGCAGATAGTCCAGAGTCACCGCATTTGAACATCTGTGGCCACAAGGAGATTTTTATTCCCCATTGGATTTGAACCTGGGACATCCAAGTACTTTTGACCTTTGGAGCCAAGCTCAAACCAATCAGGTGTCACCCTTGTGGTTATCATGCGGAATATTTGTACATGCATATGTGTTTTGTTTGGGTAGTGTATCAAGATGCACACAGAGAGCTGTCAGAGCATTTGGCATGCAACTTATTCGATGAAAAGTGTCAAAGATACATTGACATTATTAAACTGAACTCATCCAGTTGGATATAGTTTTATTGTATATATAAAGGAGTGATGTTCATCCTAATAAAAAAGATCCTCAAAGTTAACATTTGATAAAATTTCATGCTTAGATTGTTAGATAAACCATGTAATGTTTAAATTTTTATCAAATATTAATTAAAAAGGTGTTCAAAATGATATGTACAAAAAACAAACCAAATCAATCCTAAAACAAATGGGGTTTGAAGAAAAGGTAAAATGTATACAATCTTTCTTACTACTTAAAAGAATAGACATTATTTTTTTAGGGAAAAGTTCAACAGAGTTGGCTCCTGAATATACACAAGCTATTCATTTGGTTCACATGTTGTTCATATTGCTAATCTTTTTTGTTTGATTTGGTTTGAATATACACAAGCTGTTCATAAGGTTTACATGATGCATTTCTTTCTCTTTTGTTAGTCCTGATGAGTGGTGCATAAGAAATGGTAGAGTGGCCCCCTTATATATGAAGCACTTAATAGTTGAGGTTGGTGTCACCTTCCCCTATCGCTTGACTATAGCTGCAGTTATATGTGTAGCAGTAAATATCTGCTATAAACATTGTCTTGATACGACATTTGCTGCATTGGCTAAGTATTGGGATGGATATCAAGTTGTTGTTTTGCCTTTTAAGTATTTATCACTGGATATTGTGTTCAAATTTGGATCGTAGTAGACACAATGGTTCCAATATATCACGATCTGTTCATATGGTTCTTACATTTAACTTGTCTGTAAAACAAAGCATATCCTCAAACAAAGTGAAATGTACCTTACCTAGTGAAGATATCTCCAGAGGCACAAACACATTTTACATTATCTGCATTAATCCAAATAAGGGCCATCACAGATGCTCTAGTAGCTGCATATTAGGCCTTCCATCCATTAGCAGGTGTTATAACATTTTGTACCATTGTAAGATCCTAGAATGACAAATCAAGAATTCAAAGGGTTAGCTGCAGACACCTTTTTTTGCAAAATAAGTGAGAACTGTCAAAGAACAATCTAATGAGGTAGTCTTAACAAAGTTAGAACATTTTCAAGTTTTGCACAAACAACATGTCCCATATTTGGTTGAGCTCAAAGAACCACATTCCATCTACATAACATTAGAAAGATTACAATATAATGAAAATTCAAAAAAAAGAGCTTATACAGCAACCAACACATGAATTATTATCTTGGGTCTCAGATTTATTAAATTAGGTTTGAAAGGAAGATAGTTCTTTATGTCATTGACCTCACGACGACAGTTGTTCATATTGTCTTCAGTTGTAAACTGGTTGCACCTCTCAACAGAGTCTGCTCATGAATATACGCAACCTGTTCATATGGTTCACATGATGTTCATATGGTTCACATGTTGTTCATATTGCTAATCTTTTTGGTTTGATTTGGTTTGAATGTACACAAGCTGTTCATATGGTTTACATGTTGCATATTTTTTCTATCTTGTTAGTCCTGATGAGTGGTGCATAAGAAATGGTAGAGTGACCCCCTTATATATGAAGCACTTAATGGTTGAGGTTGGTGTCACCTTCCTCTGTCACTTGACCATAGCTGCAGTTATATGTGTAGAAGAAAATATTTTCTATAAACATTGTCTCGATACGACATTTGCTGCATTGGCTAAGAATTGGGTTGGATATCAAGTTGTTGTTTTGACTTTTAATTATTTATCAAATTATTTATTTTTAATTATTTATCAAATTCTTGATTCTCTGTTAGTGCTTAGTTCCTCAGATTATGGAAGGTATTATGATATTATCTTACTGTGTAGGTTGATAACCATTTCATCAAAATGAGATTCATATATACAATGTTATGTGATAATGAAATACTCATTTGTGTTGGATAAGTCGATAGGAGAGCAAACCTTGATATCAAGAAACTGCATGTACATATCAAAATGTCTTTGTATAAATTAATGATATTTATAATTAGATATGTTCAGATATCCATATCATTCCCTTTTATAGTTCGTATTTCTAGATTGCATTAATCAATTTCTATTCGAGATGGGGAAGAAGATGTATTATCCCTTTGTTGTCAGTTTTACTTACCCACCTGGTTGTTGCAGTTGATTCCTGCATTTATGTAATCTTAATGTTCATTTGGTTTATCAACTACAACTTTACCATCAAGTTTTGATGAATTTACACCCTTACAACATGAAATTGATTACGATATAGGAGAGAGATCAGAAGGAAGCAAGTATTTTATCTCCAATGTTGATGATGCGCTTAAAACAAAGACCAACACACAATTTGCATCTATAAATAATAAGGCGGAAAAGATGAACAAGACGTACGCGGACAATGTCGGGTTTGATGTTCGTATTCATCAAAAAAAAAACAAACAAGAACAGAGACATACAAACTAGATGGTTTTGTATGTAATAGGGAGGGAATACCAAATAAAAAGTACTTTGATTCTATGTCTCTTCTGTCCGGCAAGAGGAGATACCGTAATACGAACCTTAAACATTGTGGATGCAATGCATGTATAAAAATCCATTTGACGAAGGATAGGTCTTGTTACGAGATATACGAGTTTATTGAGGCACATAACCATGCGTTATTCAATATTAACGATCGTCGTTTCTCTAGGAAGAATAGACAGATGAAGTATACATATTTCAAAACTGTACTGAATAGCTCGAGTTACAAAATCGGTGCGAGAAGGGCTCATCGTATACAGACGGCATTGAACGGTGGATTTGAGCATACTCGATGTTCTGAGATTGACTTTAAGAATTTTAAGAGGGATGCAATTGCCTGTGTTGGGAATAAGGACGCGAAAATGTTGATCAATTAACTATCGAATAGACGAGATATTGTGCTCGGTTATTTTTTTCGAGTACAAGTGCAATGAACAGGAGTTGAGCGCAATTTTCTGGGCAGATGAAGTGGCTAGAATTAACTACAAAGAATTCGGTGATGTCATATCGTTCGACGGGACGTTTCGCACGAACAAGTAAGCTTTGCAATTGCAATCAAGTTTTTTAAGTTTATTACGCATTGGTATTTTCTGGGCAGATGACGTGGCTAGAATTAACTACACATAATTTGTTGTTTTGTGTTTCAGGCATGCGATGATTTTCTTTCCTTTCTTGGCTATTGACAATCACAAAGCTTCCGTTGTTGTCGGCTCCGCTCTAATAAGTGGCGAGACAATTGAAAACTTTACATGTGTTTTCAAAGCTTTCCTAAAATGCCATGAGATGCAACCAGTTTTCGTGATTACGGATCAATGTTCGGCAATGAAGCAAGCTCAACATATATATATATAGGGTTGGGTTCACGTGAGACCAAAAGTTTTTTGTGAGACCCGTGAGACCAATTTATGTTCATTGATCAACTTCATAAGCTAATGATCTAATGGTCTAACGTTGCACGGTGACAATTTTGTGATTATTGAGAAATCTTGTGGCAATTTTGTAATTATGAATGTTTAGATTGTATATCTAATCAAATGGTTGAAAATTGGTCTTACGGGTCTCAGGAAAAACCTTTGGTCTCACATGATCTCAAGTATATATAGGGTTAGGTTCACGTAAGACCAAGGGTTTTTCGTAAGACCCATAAGACCAATTTATGCTCATTGATCAACTTTATAAGCTAATGATCTAATGGTCTAAAGTTGCACGGTGGCAATTTTGTGATTATTGAGAAGTCTCGTGGCAATTTTCTGATTATGAACGTTCAGATTGTAGATTTAATCCAAGGGTTGAAAATTGATCTTACGGGTCTCACAAAAAACCCTTGGTATCACAAGATCCCAAATATATATATATATATAGATATATTTATATATATATATATATATACACACACACACTTGTACTTATCTCCAAGATTCATTTCAAAGGAAAAGTGGCAATTACTGTGTGCAGCCTTTCCTTTTTCTCCTTTCTAGCTGAGGCTGAGATGGTCAGATATATCTCCCTCTATTCAATCCAAATATCCAATCCAGTAACAAAAAGCCTCTCTCCCATTTCCATGGGTCAAATCATGGACAACAAACAGATGACTTCAAAGTCAAAGTTCCACAAATACATGGATTTATATTTCCATTAAAATCTCTCTTTCAATCTTTATAAATCAAAACAAGATCATTAACCACAGACAAAAAGAAGCATTACCCTCCATGAAATTAAGAATCTTCTAAGACTTTGAGAGCCTGCCCCCAAAAAATTATTGGTAAAAAGTGCAGTAAAATAAGATTTTCGCGACCCTGAAACCATGGAAAACTAACGGACCTAAGAAGCGGTCTTTTGGGCTTTATCGGGTAGGATATTATCAGGTAGGGTAAGCTCCACGGGTGTTTCACGAACCACACCAATCATTGAATCATACTCCTCGTCTTTGCGTGCAAACTTCTTGCGCAGCCTCTTCTCCAACTCGATCTCTTCAAAGCCTTTTGCATTTTCAGCAGCATGAACAGCCGCTAAGTTGCTGTAGTTGACTGCTGACTGAGAAATGAAGGCTATTTCTTCTTCAGTGAGCTTCCTCATGAACTTGGCTGGATTGCCTCCCCATACCTATCGGAAAAAGTTTAAAGCTTACCGGTAAGCAAATAACCAATACGGGATTGAACAAAACAAAAACTTATTCTCCCATGTTTGGTGTGACATTGGACTGCCATGGGGCATGACTGACAAAAATAAGTGGAACAAAAACCAGGGAATGAGACAAGATTGGTAAATTACTAAACTACTCATGTCAAATTAAAAACCTAAAACCTTCGTAGTTTTTCGCCCACCTACCTCACTCTTACCTGCCCCGTCCTTCTCCATACTGCTTACCAAATGCACATCATGAAAACAACCTCTTTATCCTTTGTGGTACTCTGTGTGAATATCTAATTTTTTTGGAAAAATAATCAATTTATGCAAGCAATCCACTTGTATGAGGTACAAGTGCATAAGTGTGTGCTTGCGGTTCGATCCTCGAAGAAAATTGAGCTATTTATGCCTAAATGTTCTTAAATTAACTTTAACTTTGTAATATCTTTGTGTAGTGTTTCCTAAGAAACTTTAAAGCTCATCGATGTGCCACATTCTAGGAGTCAAGTTCTTAAGAATAGGGAAGAGCTAAACTTTGACATTCAGCATTATTTCTGAGGGTAATTTAGACATTTGACTAACTGTCAAGCACTTGCACTATACCATCTTGCTGAATCGAACATTAAACTTACTAGGGATGGATGGAGCATTGGTCTTGAAGTTGAAAAGTAAAGTTAAACGTGACTATTTTCCGAACGGAGGGTGTGCTTTTCAGTAATGCAGGAGTTAGTGAGAGACTACAAACCTCTCCAAATGGAACTCTTGTATTTTGCCTCACAAGGGCTCCAGCAGCAACCATGGCATTTTTCTCAACATGAGATCCATCAAGCAGCGTTGCACCCATGCCAACAAAAGCCTCATCTTCAATGGTGCATCCATGTATTACAGCACCATGACCTGTTTAAAGTTGACTATGAAATTACGGCTCTAACTGTGAACCAATTGATTGCATGGAAAGAAGTGAAATCGGTATCATTCACATTTTGCAGACCAGGGCCAGGTTCACTTGAGAACCTTGAGAACCGTGGGAACCAACTATTCAGCATGTTCAACATTCATGAATGTAACTGAATGAACATTCATGATGAATAATATGTTCATCATGAATAGTTGGTATTCACGGTTCTTAAAATATTTACCGTTAATAAACTTCCCCCTTGCAGACTAATGGTACTCACCTACAGTAACATTGTTGCCTATCGTGGTTGGCAAAACATTTCCGCTTATATTGGATTTGGCTACGTGGACAAGAGCATTGTCTTGGATGTTTGTTCCCGATCCAACACTGATACTGTTCACATCACCTGCAGATGGAGCTCACACTAAGAAAAGAGAGAAAAGCGCAAGTTTTTTTTTCTTGGGGAGGGGGGGTTATATGCACCCACATTCTTGCATTCTATATTTTCTTCACATAAGTGTTTGACTATTGACCAAATACCTAAACAAACCCTCCGTGATGATAAAATAGAGGATTCCAGCTAAAATAATGCTACTAACATTTCGCAATGCTTACAAATACACAAAAGGGTCATTTTGGATTGCTTATAGAAGGAAATGAGGTCTTCATCTTGGTACACCCCAAGAAGGAAATTGTTGCGTTTATTTTGAGCCACACGGATTACCTTCTAGGTTTGAGAAATGCATGGTAATGCTCCTTTTTCTCTCTATGGTTCCAATTCTTCTATGTCACTCTTTATCTCCCCAGTTCCACTCCATCTCTTATGTACGCCTCTATCTTGCGATAAATTCACAAACACATCTACATATCATGTTAATGCTACAAACTCATCTTAAAGTTCATCTGTTTCTTGATATTAATGGCCCTGTCACCTCTTATCTTCTTTTGAAAATCAATCAATTCCATTCATAACATGTTCAAATTCAATAACAGTGAAGGAAATCAAAGGCTTCGAGTGCATTTTGATTTATATGTTATGACTTTTAGTTTATGTCTAATCAGGCAAGGAATACTCCAATCAAGGTTCTTCTATACTTCATGTCGTAGGTGTTCATATATTCATTTAGGCTATTTTCAACTAAATATCATTTTCTTAATGATCAACCATCACCAAGGGGTGGATTCTTAACAAATCTAGAAGTACTCAAACTATTAAGACAATATCAATATTCAGCTTTCAAAAAACTTCTTAATGACTCGTCCAACAAGAAAAAGGATAAAGTTTTCACCAATAGTTCCTTCAAACAAGAAGCCTTTTCAAATTTCTAGCAGCCAACCCAAAGACATGGAATTTGGTGCAACCCCATCAACCCTCTAACTAGTATATGCTATGTGCAATAGGCAAACCAAGAAGCACGCAAGGTAACTGCCCCAGGAATTCTAATATAAGAATATGACCATTCATGATAATGGAGTCCGCACCGGTGTCCATCTAATGGTACAAAGGGTTCAATAAAATATCCAACTGAATAAGGGAGTAGACATCTATCAATAATATGATGCATATCAAAGAATATGTCCTTCGTGATGTACTTCCCTGTAGCTCATTTGACATGTTCTAATTCATAAATTTGTAGATGACAATTTGGTAACCAAGTGACCAAGTGAAACTGTTAAGTTTGGCAACACTGGCATTGCTGTTAGATGATGGAACAATCCATCTTGGTGTCAACAATTACTCACATAAGAGTTAGGCAGAAATGCATAGTGGATAGGAAGCACATGTATGTTCTTAATACTACTACTTTCAAGATCAACAAGATTGCACCAACAGAATTACATCATCCACTTGTTTTACGAACTTGCCAATTATGAGTTGGGTGCTTTAACCATTCAGCCATGGATGCTTAGCGAAAAGAATTAAGTGGGGATATTCACATGAGCTTAGACTTTCACTAATGCTAGATACCAATGCTTCTAAATGTTTAATGATAACAGACACTCAAATCAAACACACACAAAAATTCTTAGTTTATGAGTTTAATAGCATTCAGATACACCTAAGAGCAATTGGCTTATTTGCTTCTTCTTTTTTCCAGAAACCTCTATTCATTTCAAAACTTGCTGATAGTTTCATATTTCGTACATCATGTGAAACAAGTGATCACATTTAAGAGGCAAGAGCATCCACATGGTGGAAAAAAAAAAAAAAAAATGAAGGGAACATTTAGGTTGCGGTTGATACAAACATTTATGGTAATAAATAGCTTACCTCTAAGCACACATCCATACCAAATTGAGGAACCACGCCCCACCTGAACATCTCCAATGACAGACGCACCAGGTGCAACAAATGCATCTTTGTCAACCACGGGGTCTTTGTCAAATAAATTCATCAGCGTCTGGTGCCTAGACACTAAAGAGAGATTAAATATAAGTTGCAAAAACAATTCTATTTCCGATATCACGACAGTATGGATATTATATGGAGTATAAAGACTTAACATGGGGGGTACCTAACAAACAGATATATTTTAATGGTCAAGAATGTCAGAAACAGACAAATGGTAGAAGTAACAAAACAAGGTGATGTCTAACCAGCCATATCAGAAATTCAGAACAATACAAAACAAATTCTAGATGGGAAGTAAATAGAACCTTAATCACAGGTATGTGAACATGAATCTAGTTGTTGTATCTTAGCATCATTAGCAAGTCGACAAGCTTGCTGATGCTGATTCTCTGAGCTACCAGCATTGTGAGCATCGGTTTTCATGGGTTTGTTATAGCGTTCCAAGTGCAAAAAGTGATTGATTGTACAAATTCCTCAACAAAATGGGCAGTGACAATAAAAGAGAATAAAAATTACTTATGACGACCAATTATTATATTACAAGAAGCTTAACTTCAAGATGCTCCTAGAGAATTACCAATGATCATCATTAGAACGAACATCAACTTTCACTGCAAGCTCACTCAGTATCACACTATCTTATTCTTAAAAACCAAATTGGTAAGTCAGGTCAAGAAACAACCCTGCTAAACATAACTTAATTCAATTCCCAAGTGAACTGGTGATCATAAACACACAGTACTAGACCTTCACATTCACCTACTATAAGCTAAAGATGCCACAGATGACCAATAAAAAAGCTCAAAAAATGACGTCCCATCTAGTTCCTACATTTGAATACATCCAAGACCATTTACTTCGTTCCAACAGAGTCTCATCTCAAGCTTTCTACTTTCTGACTTTCACATCAATCTGTGACTAAAAAATACAACAGCTCTTATCTTTAATACATCACAATACAGACAAAGACAACAAAAGGTCAGAACTTTCTCAACATCTCAGTCCCTTGTATGTTCATAAATATCAAATTTTACATCACTAACACCGAAACTCCGAGCAAACAAGATTATCTGAAGAAGCAATCTAAATTCAATCAAAAATACACATGACATCATATCAATTTCAGCCCTTAATTGTCCGTATTCTATTTAGCATTACAACAAACACATAGAAAGCAACACCGAAAAAAACGACGGTAGAACAAATGGGTGTTTACGAATTAAAGCAAAACAAAGATAGGAGAAGCTTTACCTTGTTCTTGGAAGAGGTGACTGCCTTGGAGGCTGAAGCCGACACGATCAACTGCTTGGCCGGCTACACGGATCCAAGATCCGACGACGTAGATTGCCCTTCCTAAAGTCCCCATTATGTATCAACGCCAAGAACCCTATTATCTGAGCTGGGTGTACTGCTTATTCCGATCGAAAGGCGCCTCTTATGCTGCGGTCTTGAGGACAAAGGAGTGTGTTGAGCAACAAATTGGGGAAAGAAGGGAAAAATAAAAACCGAGTTAAAACTGAGTTGGTCTGAGTTGTGACTGAGCCGCTTGAAGAAAGGGCTACGATTCAGTACGACAGGCTTGTGTTGTATTTCTCAAGTCCAGTGAATCATAGACGTTCATTTCATCAGCAGCAAATTATTAGATTGTGTATTAAAACGGTTGAATTCCCTGTCCATATGTATTTATTTATATCTATTAGAAGTGTACTCGTGCAATATAACAAAACATATCTTGATTTTAATGTTTTATTTTATTGTTTATTTTTGTCAATGTTATAATACGATTTTATGTGTTTTAAGAAAGCAATAATGATTTTATTTTTAAATCAAATATAAATTTAAGATATCATAAAAACTTTAAAAAAATATATCAATGTTAATATCAAATCAACTATTTAAAAGTTCTAATTTTTATGTAATTTCTTTAATTTTTTTTTTTAGTATAATTTAATTTAAGTTTAATAATGAAATAATTTATTTTTGATTTAATAATATAACATTTTATAAAGATAATAATTAAGTATTATGTTAGAACTCAATGATTATTCTAATTATATTTTAGATTTTTTATATTTAAAATGAGATGTTTATCATGTATTTGATTATGTTTATCTGCAGTTAGTTACACGAATTTAGATATGAAGCTTTAATAAGTTGTACTTACGTACAATCTACTTGTAATCTTGAGTTTTAAGTAATATGCATTAATAAACAGTACTTTACGCATAAAAAATGGTTTTTAAGAGTTTTTGTCAAATGCTTTATAATACAGTATATATACTATTTTATAAACCAAAATTATCAAAAGTCTTAAGAACAATTGTTAATGCACAAATTACTATAGATTTATGCACAAAGTATTAAAAACAACTCATAATGCACTAAATACTACTACTTTATGCATTCAGTCTTAAAATCTCTTAATCTACAATTAAAATAACATATAGTACAAGTTACCAATGCACATTATTACTTTTTCTTTTCATGTTTCGAATATACTTTTGACACCTTTCACTCATGTCTTCACCCTCTCATACCTCTATGTCTTCTCCCTAACCCCCAAGGTGAGATTCAAACTGATATTCACCATGAGTTATTAAAAGTTATTTCATTCATCTCTCATTCAATTGCTCTAGAACTCTCGCTCTCGCTCTCGATCTCTTGATTTTTTGCTCTTGGTGTAAGTCGAATACATTTGTGGAGTCGTTTAAATATGTTGGATTTTAAATATATTGGATTTTAAACTGTCATTTTTTTTCATCGATAGACTGTAATTGAAACCATAACTCTTATTTATTCAAATTGTATTAATATGTAAAGATCAAGTGTAACTTATATCATCGTTAAATATTCTCTAATAAAACCAGTGAAACTTCAAAATCGTTAAAATTCATGGCTCCCGCCGCATTACGCGGATACACAACTAGTATTTTGTTAAATAAAACAAAACATGATTAAGAGATGTTTTACTTTTGGCTTAATGAGTTTATTTGCATAGTCATCTCGACGTATTTACTTACGGCATAATGAATTCTTTTTGACTTATTCAGATAGTCGGGTAGGGACGCTTATCCACATTCAACCATATAAATTACCTACAACTACCCTTATCTACAACTACCCTTATTTCCCTTCCCAAATTTCCGCATTCAGCCATAGAAGAACACGCCTCTCTTCCCTTCTTCTATTTCTCGAGCCCCCTTCGCTCTACATCTTTGTCTTCCTCAGCTTGTTTTTATACATTTCCATCTTCCTCCATCGTCATGGTTTGTTGGTTAATGGTGGATGCTCGACTCTAAGAGCCCATACCTTATTGTCTATAAAGACCCAATACCTATTTCAAGTTACAATTAGGGAATATCATCTCATACACATAAACTGACTTCTATACCTATGGATCCATTACATTATAGTCTAATGTATTTAATCTTCTTGATAGGCCAAACCATATCCTACATATGAACAATCATGTATAAATAGTTACCAAGTGGGTAAAATTCCCATTTTTACCAGCAAAACAAAGTCAAGACCATTGATAATCTTTAGTTCCAAAACTCATCAAAACATTGAAATAAACCTTTACAATGTATATAAGATCTTTCCCTGCAGTCCCAAAGATCCCATATTTGATCCAGGTGGTCAAAAATCCACCAAATGTGAAATACTTGAAATGAAGCTGTGACCAAGCTCATGACTAAAGCTACATGGCTAGTCGCCCGTCCCAAAAACACCTCAGACTCCATTGAGTCAAGCCACGACCTTGGTCGCGTGGGGTTTTGCCAAGCACGAAAACTCCAAATTTTGGTCCTGTAACTTCATACACAAAAATGAGGTCATTAATGGCAGATAAACATGAGATTTTACATACCAACGTCTTCAAATGACCCATAATTAAGGTTCTAAATACGAGGGTGTTACAACCCACTATATATAGTCACATCGTTTAACATATACCAACGTTTTTCATACCATATGTTTTGTAGAAAGACACCATTCAACTTCTACAGATGTTTGTCTGTTCGCACCAAGTACAAATACACTATTAAATATGGGCCAATGCTTATATCAAGGGAACAATACCCCTGTGACCGGTATCCATTGATTTTGGCTCCAATCGGATCATTAAATGACCCTAACTCCTCCCTCAACCCGTGTAGGTTTTCACGATAACCACTCTCAACTCCACGACTTCGTCGCAATAGCGAACGAGTCAGACTTCATAAGGTTCATCTCGTTACATAACTAGCCCTCCTATTGAGGCGTCCTTTACATTTGAATCCCTTTTTTGGGATGTTATAAGTTTGTCTTCATTAATCGAGTTATTTTCATTTGGATATGGATTTTTCAATATTTTTTTCTCGAAAATTTATATTAATTTTGTTGATTTTATGTATATGATACGAGAAAATAAGCATGTATGGCGTCGACTTTCAAATAACTAAAGGTGACAACATGCATCAAAAAAACAAAATGAAATGTAACACCCCTAAAATAAGAGTAAATTTAAACCGAAAAGTCGATACATGATTAGTACTTATACAAATATAAATCACCCAAGATGAGGAAATTGTAAAGTGTTTACAACCCAAAGGAATAGAAGATAAATAACAACCTACTCATCTGAACTATTCTAAATTCATATTATAAATGAATGTCGCTATCACCATCAAAGAATCATATCGAATATAACGCATGACAAAAGCTATCAATCAAAAAAGTGCCTCCACCGGCATCCAAACACTCCGCTCAAATCTTCAGATTTCACCGCTAAGAAAACCTGATATACATGTCATTTAAGAAAAAATGTTAGACTTGATTTCCAGTGAGTCCAAACAGTTTATAAATAAAGCAAGTAACAAATGGAGATGACGTTTTATAAACTTGTACCCCAAGGTTCACATATTTCAAATAAGGGCCATAAGGTCCAAAACACATCTTACGATGACTGGGAGACCCAATTTTTATTAATCATGGTGGAACACAAAAGTATGCTACGAATCTATGTTCTAGAGCTTCTATAATGGAACATTGGTCATCGAGTTCAACCACCCATGATTTATAGTTCGAGTCCTCCAATGAAATGAGATATCTTCTTTTGCTAGAATCAAATAATTACTGGTCACACAGTCATCAAGTTCAACCACACACGATCTATAGTTTAAGTCCTCTGGTGATTCATTACACGTATCTAGCTATTTCATGGGAACCACTATCCCAACTAAAATATATAAATTGACTTCTATACCTATGAATCCATTGCATTACAGTCTGAGCATATCGATGCTATAAAACAATTTACTATGATCAAACGCATAGTTCTTGACACCAATATCAACATTAAATCATTAAACTCAAAATTTACCAAAAGGGATTTAAAGCTTCTTAACCTCAAATACATGTCAAGACCAAGTAGTATAATCAATAAAAATATCAGGTGTTACATGAAATACGAATATGTTAAATATCAGTTCTCATGATGTTAATTTAGGTCGTTAATTATTAAAATGATATATTTTAGAATATACACTTGGTGAACCCGGTCCATCCGCCCTAGTCGGAGACGGAGATTCCCTACTAAATGGGGATGGGGATCCCAGTTTGTCTCAAACCAGGGATGCTTGGGACCGGTATTGCACTCCCCGCCTCGTCCAGTACCCGTATATATATATATATATATATATATATATAGAGAGAGAGAGAGAGAGAGAGAAATGTTCAAATACAAACTGACTCAATTTATACATAGTGTATAAACTAATAACAACTAATCACATAAATCCATTTGTTTTTAATTTATAAGGGCATTATGGTCTTTTGATATTACAATAGTTATGTTTGGTAAGTATCTAATACTAATAGATAAGTTTGGTAATTCTTTAATTTTATATAAATATGAATTATATCTTATTAGCTCACACTTTTTTAGTAAGTATTTAATTGATTTATTCGTTAAATATGTTGATACAAATTGTCATCTTTGAAAGATGTACAATAAATGTTGATTAAAGAATATTTTTATGTTTCATCATCTAATAGAATCTCTCTCCTTTTATAGTTTATAGATAACTTTATTTCATCATTAACATATTCATTATTAACAATTTCATTATGTTTCATTATGTCCAATGCCACAGTTTTATTATGTTTCATCATTAACAATTTCATTTTGTTTCACCGTTAACAGTTTCATTCTGTCTAATGTCATAGTTTCATTTTGTTTCATCATTAACACTTTTAGATACCCTATTGTCCCATCATTAACAGTTTCATAGTGTCCAATGAAACATGTTCACGGGATTGAACGAGGGAAAGAGGATTTCAATGATCGCAACAGTTTACAGTTTGTTTCCGTTTTGTCCTTTCTTGTTGAAAATAATAATAATTTATTTTATTTTATTTTTACTTTACTAAAATAACTTGTTTTATTCGCAGTCTGTGATTATGAAAATGAATAGATGTAATTGGTTTGTAAGGTTTGTATAAAAAAACATGGTTTGCAAAGTAAACATCCTCTATATGTATGTGTGTGTGTGTGTATATATATACACACTTGGGATCACGTGATATCAGCTTGTTTTCGTGAGGCCCGTGAGACCACTTTTTTACACTTGAAACTTTACAGCAAAATATTGTGAAGGTAACCTTTACAATGTTTTTACTGTGAAGGTTCGATTTTTTTACCTTCATATCATTTTGCTGTGAAGTTTCAAGTATAAAAAAGTGGTATCAAGGGTCTCACGAAAAACAAGTTGGTCTCACATGAACCCAACCATATATATATATTAATAAATTAAAAATATGTAAAAGGCTCGTTCCAGACATTTTTTAGGCCTTGGGCGATTTGTGAAAAGGGGCCCTCGATAAGTACAAGTTTTTTTCAATATATTGTTTTATCATAAAAAATAACATTGAATTCACATAAAACCGTTTTCCGAGTATTCTTAGACGCAAAATCAATCAATAATCATTCTAAATTAATATTATCTAATAGACCATTTTTATGTAGCATCATCAATTTGTTCCATCATCAAAAACATCCTATGATATATTTTTGGTACATAGAATGACATCATTTGAAGTCACAATGTTGATTTTTCTGATTTCTGAGTAACACTAGGTAAATCAATGTAGTAGATTGGTTTTCCATATCACCTCATGTTAATGTTTTTTAACACCATTTTAAACTTTTATACTATATTCTCGAATTTGAGACCATAAGAAAAAAATGAGAAAAGAAAAGAAAAATAAAAGAATGTTAAAAAAAATAAAGTTTTTATTTGTGTTTTTAATAGAGAAGACAGAGCAAGGAAAAATAATGAACTAAAAATAAATTTTGATATAATTTCTTTTTTTTATTTTATTTTCTTTTTCTTTCTTTAAAAAAAATCTCGAGAACATGGTATTTTTCTTCCCCTATATGTTATTTATTTCAACTAAATTGATAATTGATAATATCGTATTTCTTAACTAGGTTTACAATCTAAATTTGTTATTTTTTGGATGTTAGTATTTAACGTTTTGGATGTCAGGTCAAAATACAATTACTCAGTATGGTTTAAATATTACTCAACATTATCTGATACATGTGACATTAAGTTTTTTTTAATTAAAATTGATTTTTTTTTTGTTTTAGGTTATTAGTTATTATATGATATGATTTTTTTTTAGTAAATTAAATTCTTTTTGGTTTTTCGTTTATTAGAAATATGTGAGATTTAAACATGTATGATGTCTCATATGTTTAATTTAAAATAGCTTACATAAACGGGAAAGAAAATTTTCGTTTCTCCGTTAGGGATCCCCATTCCTCGTTAGAGATGGAGATGAGAATGTGATCATATTCCCCGATAGGGATGGAGACGAGGACGGAGATGAGGGATTGAAGATGCGGATGGGGATGGAGGTCTCCACCTTATCCCCGCCCCATTTCCATGCCTACGATGGATGCTCTAAAAGGTGTTACCATACCATGCGCACACTTATTTATATAAAAATCAAGTCATGTCATACATTGAAAATGTAAAAAAAATAAGTTTATTATTGTTGTATCAATGTATCTAAGGAGAAAGTTTAGTAAATAGGCATACATTTAGAAACTGTCTGACAGTTGCTGAATAGTTTGGTGCAAAATTATTAAGTAGTCAGAATAATTAAGAGACTCTTATAATAAGATGCAAAATGAAATATAATTGTTTGGTAATATTCAGAATGAAATTAGGGTGCCGAATAGTTAAGGAAGACCCAAGATACAAAACCTTCAAGAGGGTTTTAGAACCATTAAAAAACAAGATTTTTTTTTGTCAAACAAGATTCATCTTTTAGCGATTCAGAAGTTGTCTTTTAATAGAACTATTAAGAAGTAAAACAAACATAGCCTACTGCACTTTAAATAACAAATTTTGAAATTTAATTTTTCAAGATAAGGATTTTAAGAATTGATTTCTTAAAATAAACATTTTTATCTTGTCCCTGTCCCATGTCACGTTAAACATGGAGCAGTAAGATCTTGTTTTATCCTATACTGCACCAAACATGGGATAGTAAGGGCCCGTTTACCAAACACTTACCCGGTAAGCGTTTACCGGTAAAATTTAATACTACCACTTACTCATCAGGTAAGGCTTTAGTCCACTAAAACGTTACCATATGCAAAAGTTACTCAATAAGCGCTTACCATGGTAACAGTCGTTGTCCTCACTTGTCGGATAAGACTTTTAGTCCTTATCTCGCTTTTACCGAATACGATTTTTGGTCCTTAACATATTCATCCGGTAAAATAATAGGACTTGATAAACACTTACCCAAATAAACGTTTGGTAAACGGCCCCTAAGTTTTGTCCCAAACACAGCAATAACCATCATAAAATCCCCATTTGATACTACAATTAAACCCCCCTCCCCCTTTCTTCCATATTCGTAACCGACTCCTGGTTCCCTGCAAAAATTAAACTCAACGGCTACACCTACAATTCAAATCTTTTGAAATCTTGAAACCGACCTCCTTCCCTCTCTCTTCAAAATCCAACACCATTTTCCAAGTTTTTAGAAACTGAAGAAAAGGAAGCACAACACATACCCACTTCTTCAAGGTTCCATTTCTAATCAATCCCTCTGTTTCTTCATCTTTTATGTATCTCACTTCAGATTTCTTGGTCGATTTTTAATCATCGTTCATTTTTACTCAGATATATTCAAGAATTCTTGAAATCAATCTCTGATTTCAGTTGATAGACTCACAAGGGTATGATTCACAGTACTTTTCTCTGCATTTTTCTGATGTATATATATATATATATATGTGTGTGTGTGTGTGTGTGTGTGTGTGTGTGCTTTAGATTAAATGATGAGAAGATGATGGGTTTTCAGGTGAGTTTCAGATTGACCAAGAACATGAATGATCTAATGACGAAATCTTTCCTAAGTTATGTGGAGTTAAAGAAACAGACCCGGATTGACATCAAGTCAGAGGAAACCGATATCGAGAAAGGGAATCAAGAACAGAAGATTGCTCCATCTGACGAAACAAATCTTTCTAACTTTTTTCAAGAAGTGGATGTAATCAAATCCAACATGGAAGAGATCACAAATCTCCTTTTTGATCTCCAAACCTTAAACGAAGAGACCAAATCCGCTCACAGCGCCAAAGTCCTTCGCGGGTTAAGAGACAGGATGGAATCTGATATGGTTTCGGTTCTTCGTAAAGCGAATGTTGTCCGTGTATGCCTTGAATCTCTCGACAATTCTAACGAATCAAACCGGAGTTGTTACAAAGAAGGCAGCGCTGTGGACAGAACTCGGGTTGCTGTCTCAAACGGCCTGCGAGTAAAACTCAAAGAAATGATGAACGATTTTCAGGATTTGAGAAACAAGATAGTGTCGGACCATAAAGAGTATCTCAAGAAAAGGTATTATAACGAAACCGGAGAGTACCCAGATGAGGCAACGATTGGAACGATGGTTTCTGGAAGTGGGAAAGTGTTTGAAGGGAAGAAGGATTTGGTTTTGGAGAATAAAGAGAGGCATGAAGCCGTGATGGATATAAAGAAGAGTTTAAACAAGCTTCATCAAGTTTTTCTTGATATGGCTGTTTTGGTGGAGGCACAAGGCCAGAATCTGGATGATATTGAACTGAATGTAGCCAGAGCTGGAAGCTTTGTAAGTGGTGGAACAGATAGTTTGTTCTATGCTAAGCAGATGAAGGATAAGCACAGCAAGAACTGGGTGTGTTTTGTTTTATCTGTGATCATAATTATATGTCTGGTATGCTTCATAGCTATGTTGTCTTCTTTCTGACAACGGGTACCGAATCTTTTAGGATTGTTTAGAATCTCCAAATTCTTTAGTTCCTAATGCTATGTTAGGGTACGATTTGTTGTTCAGGATGTTCTTTTTGTTTCTTTTTGATCTAGATCGAGTTTTCTTAGCTCAGGATTTATGGACTTAGCGTACAAATCTTCAAGATGATGAAAAATTTACTTCAGTGAAAGTTCTTCAATGGTCTGTGATCTGGGTTCTATTTCTTTCTGAAACATTCCTTCTGGGATCTCACAAGTTTCAATTTGCCAACCATGATATAGTGCAAGTATGACATCAGAATGTTTAAGTATCTAACGTGTTCATAATGGAAAGTTTGTTGAGAACCAGGGAACGCCCACACCACATGTACCTCTTCAGGATGAATATTCATCATGAATCACACATTCATGATGAATATCTTACAAACATTCATGAAGAACATGCTACCTGTCGCGTTGTGGGCGGTCCCCTAGTTCCAAATGAAAATGAGGTTCCTAACAGAACCTGCCCCGTGTTCATATATGTATATGATCCATGTTTTATAAGTTAATGGAGCAAATACTAAAATCTGAATCTAAAAGGTCCTTCTGTTATGGTCTTTGAGATCATATATTTCATCTTTAGTGAAGCTTTGAAAGTGGGTTGTTAAGTTTTAACGCATTAGAGGAATCAGTAATTCTTGTTTCAGCTAAATAGTCAAGGCAAGTCGGTCTTCTAGATCAATAATGCTATAGCAACTTGTACTTCAGGCAATGGAAGTTGTACATTTGCAAAGGAAGCTTGGAATTTCGTTTAACAAAACTTGAAAAGATTGACAAAAGATGCATCAGATTCATATGCCATTATTATTCAAATCAGTGGAAGTGTGTTTTTGTAGTACAGAAAGTGGCAAATTTCTCTTTAAGATACCAAGAATCATACTCAGGTCAGATGATCTTCGCTGCTAGTGTTGTCTCCCTGCTATCTGTATCCCGTGGACAGTGTGTACTGATATATCTCCTATTCAGCCAACGCTGAGTTGTTGAGTAGCCACCCATGATTTCTCCGGCTCTAGTTCAACATTTCCAATCTGAAAAATATTTAAAAGATAAGTTTCTACTCGCATATACCATTTTCATCCATTCTTTCAATTTTTCCCACCAACTAAATGGGAGCAATTTAGCAATAATTACATATTCGTTTCTTCTTGTGACACTCCCAGCCTACGGAACAAACATATATTTTACTAATACACCCTCAAAATAAAACCTATTTTTCTTCTAAAATATCAAATACGTTTCCCTATTTACATTTTGTCCAATCTTTAAATTTTATTTTATCATCTTTAAACTTTCAATTTACTGTCACCAAAATACTAATTTTATATGTTTTCTATATTTTGGTTATTTATGTAATTAGTTAAATATAAATAATAAAAAGATAATATAGAAAAGGTATAAATAAAATTTGGAAATTAATAAACTTCATATTTTGGTGTCAGTTTAATTGTCTTGACGAAAATTTTCTAATGATCTATTTTGTTATAAAAAGTATTTATTTTATTATAATATAATAATTTTATAAATTAATCAAAACATAAAAAAGATATGAACAACTTATTAGGGGTAAATTGGTCATTTTTACCAGTCTTGTCTTGTCTAGTCCTATTTACCAAACGCTGAATAGTTGTTATGTTCTGTCATGTGTAGGTACCAAACACACCCTAATGGTGCATTTGATACCTACATGGACCGGATGGGATGAGACCGGATTGGACTAGATGGGAGAGAGTGAGATATGCGTAGGAAAGAATTGTGCAAGATTTTAAGGTTTTGACATAGGTAGTTTAATAATTTACCAATCTTGACCCATTTATCTCATAGACAAAAACACTCAATCCTGTCATATCCCAGTCTAATTCCGCATCAAACATGGGACAACAAGTTCTTGTTCTATCCGGACCAAACACACCCTAAAAGTCTTCTTGTCATGAGTAGCGTGCAAGTCAGGTAAATCATGGCACATTAAAATGAAGAAATCTCTTCTCATTACTCATAACTAGAATCTGGTTTATAGCAAAAGCAGTGACATCATGCATTACCTGAGCATTTTCAACACATACAAAATCTTTATAGCATGCTTCCATGGTCAGATGTGGATTCCATAGAACCGCATCTGGCCAGCTGCACGAAGAAGAATATGGAGTCAAACAAGCAGCACGAAACAAAAAACATGAAAAAACAATCAATGGTTGGCCCCACATCAACTTACTTTGTATTCTTAATTGATATGATGTCGCCCAGACCATTATCCAGGTATAACTCATTAGCAGCCCCAAGATAAACACAATCAACAAATCCAGGATAGGTCACTACGTCTCTGGATCGGGCAAATTGAAGTTGAGATGAAAAATCAAACACAGTGAACTCCAGAACATTCACATATTAATATGCAATTCCTTATGCATACAAAAACCACAACACCCAAAAGAAGATTTTGATACAATCGCACAAGATACCTTTCTTCCTTACCCTCCACTGGGTTCTTAGGGTCAGGATCTTTGTTGAGTGTCTTGCAACCTTTTAGACCTCTAACCGATGCACCCGATACAGCAGCCTGCATCACAAAAGTACCAAGAAAATCTTTTAGATATTTACGCAGGAAGGTGACATTTATAAAAACAAAAACTTAAAGCAGATCGTCAATTCGATTTTGTGACCGAAAATAACCACACTCACACTGAAATATGTATGCAGAGCAGTGGTAAATGAAAACGCCGTTTTGTCAGTATTTGTGATTTTCAATTCAGTTGAAAGGCTTTTCTTGTCTAGGGTGATCTGCAAACAGAAGAAGAATTTATGTTAAGGTTCATAACAGGCAAAATGTAATAAAGAAAATAACACATGAAAGATTTGTTTCAAAATGACAAGCTCACCTTGTATAATGCTTGAAAACTGTAATCCCACATAGAGCGACTGTAAGGGCTATCTTTAAGCTCTAAAGTGATAACAGGAGATCCGTCCACATTTTCAGAATCAACAATGGACCAGTTGGAATTCCTTGCAAATCCATGCTGGTAGCCACATATAAGCATGTTCAAGAGTTAAAAACTCACTTCTGAGCAAGGGACTGTCTTGTATGTTAGCAGCTTAATGTGCTTAATGAGACTCGCAGTTTATTTAGTCAGCTATACATGACTGTGGTGGTAGTGGCTTGATGATATAGAAAGTGGCTTATTCAGTAAGCTTGTAGGGGGAGCTTTTTGCAGAAAGCCAAATTTTTTCCAAACATACCCCTCCCAATTAAAAAACACACCCCTTCCATCTATGAAAAAAAACCTCCCAATCTATACAAACAGATTAATCCACACAGTCAGCTTTATCCATACTTGCGGCTTAATTAGGCTTATTGGTCTATCTGGCTTATTCGCACAGCAGGGGAAAACCAACCAAACAGCCCCTTAGTTATGAAAAGTGGAACCAAGAAAGGATGATCCTATGACACCAAAAAGATAATTATATGGAGGCTGCGCAATCTTAAATAGGTAGAACAGCAAACATACCTGCTGCATCGGGCCAGGTCCAAATTGGGGGAAACAATGCGGGATCCCTCCACTGTTCCCAAAACATACCATAGAAATGAAAGAAACAACAAGGAATACAGTCAGTGGGATGGCATATAAGTTTGAACTTCAAACCATTTTTTCTCTATCAGAGAGTATATACATCAATAGGATCAGTGATTAGCAGATAAAACTGCATTCTGAGACTACTTCCAGCATTCAAAAAGTAATAACTAGTATGAAGTTATAAGATTTGCATTTAATACTAGAAAGAAATTTGACCTTATCGGTTTCTGCCCATTGAAAACAGCATCTGGCCGAACAAAAAGGAGATCCTTGCTCCCAACTTTCCATGATGTAACACAGCCTCCATATAAGTATAGCTCGGCCTCACTGGAAAAGAGATAAGGTATTCAGTCACATACATCATACAACACGACCAATCAGCATCTCAATCATGATCGACCAAACAGCAAATGCTTATTTACAGTATCACGGAAATTATCAGAAAGCAAACGAATTCCTGTAGTCGCAACATTCTAACCATCAGTATGCTTCTTATTTTCTAACTCCTCCAATCTCCAATATCGGACAAAACCAGAAATTGATATTTAAGTCAAAGCAGGCAAACACTTTAAAGATTGAAATGCTCGCCACCACCAATACCAATCACTTGAAGCGACCGTCTTTCTACACAAATCTAGTTCGTGCAAACTCAATTATAGATTGCTTATCACACACTTTTGATCCTTACATTTCTCCGACCAAATTGAAGCTAACTCTAAGATATGAGTACACTAAACCACCATCAAGATTGTTTCATAATCATACAAATTATCTTTCACAACTAGCTACTCGCTAGTTAGATCAACACTAAAAAGCAATTCCCACCAATTAAAACCCCATCAAAGGTCGTATTGAAAAGCAATGGCCTCAACAACCCTTATATTAAGAAATGCCATTGCAGTTCATTCAGCATTAAGCATGTTCCAAATAGACCCAAAAACCAAATTATTCTATCTACATTCATCCAAGTACATTAGCTTAAATCTCCACATAATTCTCCATCGTTTCTGCTTTAGCTTAACAAAGAAATCAACCATTGAATTTTCACAAAGAAAATCATATTAATTACTAGTATAAAATCGAAGTACCTTCCATGGGAGGAGGTTAACACAACCTTGGGCAAATTTCCCAATCCTTCAGTAACTTTAACTCCCAAACTCGCAGTATCCTTATTCACAGTCGCAAATGCCATACCTGGATATCTGTAATCACTCAAATCCCTCGAAACTCGGTCAATTTATACTTGTTTTTCAGAAATTCGTCAATCTTTAACCGATTTGATGACGAAAAGCAATCGATTAGGATGGAAAAGCGAATGAATTGAAGGAGATGTGATTTGAGATGAAATCTGGGAGTGAAGAATTGAAGAAGGAAACTCACCGATTGACCCGGGGAAGCTTAGAAGAGGTTAGCGATGGAAGAGACCACGTCATTGATATTGCCCCCATTATCGTCTTCTCTACTCAAAAGGATTGAATTCAGACACACAGATTCGTAGAGCAAACGATATTTTTGCTTTGAAAAATGTCGTTATGCCTTCGCATATTCTCTTTGCCACCACACATTAAAATTTACGAACAAAATCAGAAATAAAACATATTCCAGTAAATAATAAATAATAAATAATAAATAACAAATATGATGATATTAATTGGTAATAATTATTTAATTGTGTTTTATTGATGGTAATTGTCTGAAATTATTAAGCTTTACCAGGTTTATTAATCAAAACAACAACCCAACCTAACCCAACCCAAATCATACGGGTTGGGTTAATCGAGTTGATCAGGTTGAAACTTTGATGATCATTTTACAATCTAGATAAGTGTTTTTGTTTAAATGAAATAAAATCAAAATGATAACATACAAAAAAGACTAATAAACTCAAAGAAAATTGAAGATTCAAGCAAATAATAAAGTAAAATTACAGTTGAAATTTCAATATAATTTTGAATATAGCTAATTATGGATTTGTGTAGTACCTAAGGTACATATTTTAATCAAAACCTAAGAATCATATTAAATCCATGGTATAAAATGACATCAGGTTCATCGGATTGAGTTTGGTTCAAATGACCCTAACCCAATAAATGCGGGTTGGACTAATTTTATATCAACTATGTATCGGATTACCTCAGGTTAAGATTTTTTGAATTTCTTCGGGTTGAGCTGGTTGGGTTAGTTGGTATTTTGAGCACCCGTATTTTCTCCAGGAGTTGTTTAGTTAACATAATAGAATTTGGTAAATTGGAATTTATATGAATGGGAATGTAACTCAATAAAGTTTGATTACGTATTTTGTTGGCAACAATTGGAATATAATCTCTCAAATGAATCAAATGTTTGGTTGTTTGAATATAGTTTCAGAATTGAAACGAGATAATAATAAATGGCTAAAATACCTCTTTATATGACATTTTCATACTTTATTGCTTAAATTATAAATACTATATAATGATAATGTTAATTGTTGGTAGTGACGGCAACAACGACGATGGTGGAGGCAGTGATGGTGGCGGCAATGATGGTGGCGGCAGAACTAGGAATAGTGGTGTTGGATAGGACGGAGTTTTGGGGTAATTTTGTCATTTTGAAAAATGGTTGAAAGTGGAATTTTTTAATTCCATCACATATGCCATGGAAGTGATGAAATCCATGAACGGTGGAATCCATGTAAATCAATTCCATTCTACGTACAAACTAAATAACGGAATGTAATTTGGTCAATGCAATTAACATTCCAATTTCTTCAGGCTTCATATGAATCATATAAATTAGTGGAATTCCAATTTATGGGGATGTTTGGAATTGTTTATTTAAAACAACTTATGTTTTTTTTTGTAAAAGTGTTTATTTACTTATGTGGTATCAAATCGGAGTTTTGTAAAAAGTGTTTGGATTAGCTTATAGTGGTACCAAAAAACAAAAAACTGATAAGTTGTTTTTTAGTGTTTGACAAATTTTGCTTATATATGTAAAATGACCAAAAAAGACAGTCTTCCATATTATTGACTTATTTGATTTTTTAACATGTAAAAATTTATTTTTCATCATTTATAATAATATCTTTAACAAAAATTTATATCAATAAGATTAATAATTAACAAATATTAATAAAATATGATTAAAATGATAAACTGGTAATAAGTAGTTTTTTATAAGTCAGGAAGAATTAACTTATCAAAAATTGTTTATTACCAGTTTGGCACCGATATAAACAGTTTTATTTTTCCTCATCCAAACACTAGCCTTTAGTTTATCACCGATATCAGATTAAAATAAGTCAAAAAACACATAAAATAAACAATCCCAAAAACCGCTTATAAACACTTGAAATATGATCAAATTTTATATAACCAAATTGAAATAGGAATACAAACTACAAAGCTTCAAAGTATGAATTCCACATGAAACGACATCACTTTTTTCCGTTTCATTCCTTCCCAATCCCAAGTCCCAACTCTCAAATAGAATGCAACTTAACCTCCTTCCACTTCTGATGGAGGTATAATCGGATAATCTACAGGGAATCTGCTAGCACGCCGGAAGATCCTTCGGCGGTGGACGGACCGCTTGATCTTTTCCCGGCCCATCTTCCACCACGAACGCCGTTTTCAGTCCCCATCCAGTATGCAACTCCAAATGACAGTGGAAGAACCAAACCCCTGGATTATCGGCTCTAAATCGAATCGCCGCCCAGCCGCCGGTAGGAACGCCGACGGTGTTGCGCTCAGGAGGATCTACGAGGTTATACTTAGCTGGATCCGTAGCCGGATTGAAGTTACCGACGCCTGTTCCAACGACGAAGAAATTGAACCCGTGAAGGTGAAAAGGGTGCGATTCAACGCTCAACAAATTGGTATCTTGTATCACCAATTCAACCGTCGAATTGAAGGTGATTTTACTCAATCGTGTTCCCTTTGAAGTGAAAAGGTTCGCCGTGAGCGGAGCTCCGGTGTAATTAAAAAACGTCGGAGGTTTGTCGGGAAAATCGACGGTAAACACTCCTTTTTTGTTGAAGTAATGAGCCTGTAGAAGACCAGTTTCCGGCATCACAAATGTTATATTGTTCAACGATGCCGAAAGCCGAGTACCATTCACACACGTAGCACACGCACTCTTCCCCAATCCGACGGTGAAAAACAAGCTCCGATCAACTTTCACCGGCACATTCGCCGGAAAATTCGGCGTGTTTAAGCTCCGAAGCTTTTCGTTATAGCTTAAAGCAAATTCGGTATCGTTTGGTGACGGTAGACGGGGGAGTAGCGGCACGACGGTGGTCGGAATGTTTTTGTATTGAAGGATCGCTGTGGCGGTTTTATTGTCTACCGGAATCGGAACGTCCTGGAACGGCCGGACCGCCATGAAGTACCGCCCCGGAGTCCGGTTGGCGGAAACAATCACATTTGTTGTCTGGCCGGGGGCGATTAGTAAAGCGTTTGTTGTGAAGGGCTTCGTGTAGACAGCGTCGATTTCGACTACTGTCATGTTGTGGCCCGCAATGGCAAAAAATAATTCATCATTGAGGGCCGCGTTGACGATCCTCAACAAATATCTTTTTCCTTGCTCGACCTCCATCACAAAAGTATCTGAAACCAGTTAAAAATTGTTTATTGTTACGTCAATAATATTTTTTATTAACTTGGATATATAACCTACTATGTGAACCGACTAATCCAGGGCAACTATCTGCTTTGCAGATAGTTTGAAGTCACCATATTTGAATTTCTGTAGTTACAAAAGGATTTTTATTTCTCCTTGGATTTAAACCTGGAACCTCCTAGTATATTTGACCTTTAGAGGCAAGGTCAAACGACACACGCTTGGTTTACGTCGTCAATAATTTTTGCAGATGTGAAAGAAATATGTAAGGAATTAACAATAATGGTTACGTTTTTCGGAACAAGGGAATAGTGGGCCCGGTTTTCCGTTGATTGTGTGGGCATCGGACATGTTGGGGGGCAGACCTAAAGCATTGCCCTGCTTCACAACCTCTTCCACGTCAGCATGCCACCATTCACCTATTAATCACAAAATACTTTTAAAATTAACGAGAAGTAGAGTATTATTGCGATATAACAAGACAAATCTCGATTTTAATGTTTTATTTTATTATTTGTCATTGTCGATGTTATAATACGATTTTATGTGTTTTTAAGAAAGCAATAATGATTTTATTTTCGAATAAAATATAAATTTGAAAAAAAATATATATTAATGCTAATATTACTATTTAAAAGTTCTCATTTTTATGTAATTTCTTTAATTTATTTTTTTATTATAATTTAATTTAAGTTTTATAACAAAATAATTTATTTTTGGTTTAATAATATAACATTTTATAAAAATAATAATTAAGTATTTTGTTAGAATTTAATGATTATCTTAATTATATTTTAGTTTTTTAAATAAGTTTTTTATCCTGTATTTGATTATGTTTATCTGCAGTTAATTACACGAATTCAGATATGGAGCTTTAATAAATTGTACTTACACACAATCTACTTGCAATATTGGTTTTAAGTAATATGCATTAATAAACAGTATATTACGCATAAAAAATAATTTTTAAGAATTTTTGTCAAATGCTTTATAATATAGTATAGACAAGGAGAATCATAAAAATAACTAGAATTACAAAGAGATTTTAGTATGCTAAAATATTTATGTCAATTTATGACATTTAATAATAAATTATATTTTGATTTTTCTACACTCACTTAAATGTATGTTAAAATGTAATTTTTTTTATATAAAATGATAATTTATTTTTATGCATTAATAATTTAGCTTTGGTTACATTTGTATAAAATAAGTAAATTTAGATGAATTTCTTACCAAACACAATAATATGTTCTCCGTCAGGCCTTGGGAAGGGAAACGGTGTCGCTTGTTTTGGTAAAATCACAATAGCACCGTATACGGTTGCTCTGAGCCATAGAATATGAGCGTGCCACCAAAGCGTCCCTCTTTGGCCCGTAACATTAAAATCGTAAACATAGTTACTCCCTGTTTTGATCGGACATTGCGTGATGTAGGCTGGTCCGTCTGCCCAACCATTTGCATATTGTTTCAAACCATGCCTATAAAGCCAAGCAGAAAAAGCCAATTTGATTTTTTTTTATACTGACCTGATATATTTAACGGCATTGAACGTTATGGTCCAATTTATCAATGCATATCGAGCATTCAGGAAGGATCATATGATATTATATAATTTATAATAAATCGTACCAGTGAATAGAGATGTTATATTGGGCATGATTTGTAACGTTGATAAGAACTCTATCGCCTTCACGAGCGTAAACTGTAGGACCGGGAAACCTCCCATTCACAGTGACAATCGGTTTTGCATGGCACAATCGGCTAACGTTCTTCACCTCAACCTTTTCAAATAAAATATCAGAACACTATCATTTTATAAAATGTACAAAAATAAACTCGACCGCAAACGTAAAAAATGTGTGTATCACGTTTACAATTTTATGCTAAATAATAGAAATGATGATTAATTTATCCATCTCACAATTAAGGGTAAAATTGGAAAATGGACATTTACTTTTGAAATTAAACACTTATTTTAAGACGAATAAAAATAAAAATATAGACAGTTATTTTATAATGAATGTTATAAATAAAAAAAGCCAAAAACTCACGATAAATTGATACTTCTTGGTGGCTGCCTCGATCTGAACGGAAAGCAACAAAACAAACACGGAAATGTAAAGAAACGAAATGGGTTTCTTGAAACCGGAAGCACGATTAGTCGACATTTTTCCACAATCGTCGAATTTACGGGTTTCTTTGGAATGAACGAGAAGAGAATGATGAAAATATAGATACATACATGTGTGTGTATATATACATACACCTATTAGGTGTAGGGGAGAAGTGAGTATGGTGTAAACCAAAGCTTTTAAGTTAAATCATGGAAGAAAGTCTTGAAAGCTTCAAAAATGAATTACTATGGATGTTCTATTTTGATTTATATATATATATATATATAATTATTTACATACCTGATAAATTGTATAAATTTATAAACTAAATTTTATATTTTGTTTTACATATAAAATAATACATGTGAAAATACAGTATTTATACAATGTTGTTTTATATGTAAAATGTATAGGAATGTATTTTGTGCAGGAAAAAAAAAACAGTGTTAAACAGTTCATATATGCAACAATATTGTATAAACGTTGTATTTTCAAATGTATTATGTCACATACGAAAGAACACGTAAAAATTAGTGTAGAAATTAATAATTAATTTTAGTAATTTGGACTTAAAATTTTAATTAAAAGCATTTTAGGTATTTTAGAAATCTTATTTATGCTCTCTCCTCTCCCTTCTCCCTCTCCTCTCCGATATGAACATTCAATTGTAATATTCGTTGTATACACGTTGCAATACATTAATTAGAAGCATTCTCTCTACTGGTACTCACTGTATACACAATGTGATTTCAACTGTATACATGATGTGATATCCACTGTGATCACAGTGATGGATTTGTGAAGTAGGGATAACACACTGTGATTACCGGAGTTGGGAGGGAAACAACTGAAATATTGAGAGAAAATAAAGGAAGGGTTTTTAGGGATTTATTATTATGTAAATAAGAAAATTAAGGGAAAAAATTCGTATGACTAAATTACCCTATTTAGTTTATTTAAGAAACATCTTTAATTATTTCAAAATTAACAGTTTATATTGTATCTCACAGTTATCACAAATTATATAGTTTTTGTTTGATTAAACTCCTATAAATTTTTCTAGTTATATCAGTATTTTGGATATTGAATTATAAATTGATAAAAAAAATCAAACAAAACATATCTAAGATATCTCATTCGACACTAAAGTTTGCAAAATTAAAATGATTGAATTATAATTGGTTTATATATAAAAAAACGATGTTGTATTTTTTAAGCAAAATTAATATTTAATTTTTTTTTTTGCGAATAAAATTATAAATTTCAAGATAAAACATGAGAGGTACAGAAGGCCAACTTCTGTTTGGCTGCCCTTCTCAACTCACCGTTAAGGAAAAGGAATATATTGGATTTTATAGGGTTGTAGGCATTTAGCGGTGTTTGGAATTGCTTATTTAAAATAATTTATGTTTTTTTATAAAAATATTTATCAACTTATTATAAATCAGAAGGGTTTAACGTTTTTAAAAACTTCTTATTACCGGTTTGGCATCGGTATAAATTGTTTATCCAAACACTCATGACTAAAACGAAGTTGTAAAATTATCCTTCTATTGAATATTTAATCAAAAAACTATATTTATGATAATAATTTATATGATTTTCTTCTTCTAATATTAATGCAAATCTATCTGATTAAATAATATATAGAAAAGATATATGTATATATATATATATATATATATATATAACACATAAATTTGTCGTTTTTATGTCACGCCTTAAAAAATGTCATGTCCTCATCATTGCATGTAAGGCTTGAGGCTTGACCTCGTCACACCACATCTGATGCTACTTTGAACCTTGATTTAAAAACATTTTAGGCAACTTTTAAACCATTTTCCTTTTAGCTAATTTTTTATTTTACCAGTTCTACACATTAAAATAAAATATAACATATATCAGTATAAGTATAAGTTTAAGTAAATATTGTTGGACGATGACAATATATTTCAAACGACACACTAAGGTTCCAAATCAAAACAACTAGTGCTAATCCAAAAACATTACGAAATTCACAACCATCTAATTATGTTCAACTGATACCAAACAATGATACTAAAGGGTTTTTTACCAAACACTTATTCGGGTAAGCACTTACCAAGTCAAATTACCTTACCGAATGAATATGATAAGTACCAAGAATCTTACTCGGTAGAGCGAGACAAGGACCATGAGTCTTACCCGGTAAGTGAGAACAATGACTCTTACCACGGTAAGTGCTTACTGGGTAAACTGTTGCATACAATATCGTTTTGGTGGACTAAAATCTTACCTGGTAATAGGGTTAAAGTTTACCGGTAAACACTTACCGGATAAGTGTTTGATAAACGGCCCCTAAAGAACAATTAAGATTCAAAATCTAAAGAGTTTATTTCTATTTCTTAATTAATAAAACCTGAAGAGTTTTTTTTTTTTTTTTTTAGATTTTGTTTCATTAAATTTATTTTTTAATCCAAAATTAGAATTAGTTGTCAGTTCAAACCTGATGAACAACCCAATTTTTGTTGGTCTTTTTTAACTGATGAAAGCCCATGTCTTTAGGCCCAACAATGCCAAGTGGCAATTTTTGATAGGGTTACATGTATAAATGAATTGATTTATTTATAATTATTAATTTAAATTGAAAAATAAAATAAAAGGCATATAACCTTGTTCAAAGTGTATTTGAATGTTTAAAAGAAATTTATTTAATTTAAAATAAATGCATCATTAATTTCTTTAGTAACTTTTGTGATCATATATACAATAATATATGAATTAAAGATTATGAATAAAAATATCATGGTGTGTCCGTTTGATCTGTCTTATCCGTTAAAAAAGGGGTTACTATTCATACCCTCACTTACATACATCTACTTCTTACCTTTCATCTCATTTACATACCTCCTATACGAGAAGGTATGAATAGAATTCACTGTTAAAAGATTTGAGGTCGTTTATCAAATGTTTATCTGGGTAAGCGCTTATCAAGTCACATAACCTTACTGGATGAATATGACAAGGACCACAAATCTTACCCGATAAGAACAAAGACAAGGACCGAGAATCTTACCAGATAAGTAAATGTGACGATTTTTACCATGATTAACGCTTACCGGGTAAATTTTTGCAAACAATACGGTTTTGGTGGACCAAGATCTTACCATGTAGGTAAGTGATATTATTGAATTTTGTTGGATTTGAAAGAATCTGTATTTCAAATCCATTCTAATCTAATATTTAGTTTGTCACTTTGTTGGATTGTCCGGATTTGAATTTAATTGAAATCCTTCAAATATAGGATTTTGAAATCCTTAGGAAGTGCTCAGGATTTCACGGAATTTCATAGGATTGTATGTAATAAGGTTTTAAAAAATGTTAAAAACATTTGTTTTGTAATAATCGATTAATAAAAATGCAATTCAATTATTTTTATAATTTTTTCTATAAATTACTTATACTACCTTATAAAACAAATTTATCAAAAGTCTTAAAAACAATTTTTAATGCACAAAGTACTATACATTTATGCACAAAGTTTTAAAAGTCCTAAAAACAACCCATAATGCATTAAGTACTACTACTTTATGCTCATTATTACATTTTTTTTTCATGTTCCCAAGATACTTTTGACACATTTCACTAATGCATTCACTCTCTCATACCTCTATGTCTTCTCCTCATCCTCCAAGGTGAGATTCAAATTGATATTCACCATGAGTTTTTAAAAGCTTTCTCATTCAATTGCTTTAAAACTCTCAGTCTCGCTCTCGATCTCTTGATTCTTTGCTCTTGTTGTAAATTGAACATATTTGTGGAGTCATTTAAATATGTTGGACTTTAAATATATTGGATTTTAAACTGTTATACGATTTTTTTCATCGATTGACTGTAATTTGAATCATAACTCTTATTTATTCAAATTGTATTAATATGTAAAGACCAAGTGTAACTTATATTATCGTTAAATCTTCTCTAATAAAACCAGTATAACTTATATTATCGTTAAATCGTCTCTAATAAAACCAGTGTAACTTATATTATCGTTAAATTTTCTTTAATAAAACCAGTAAAACTTCGAAATCGTTAAAATTCATGGCTCCCGCTGCATTGCGCGGGTACACACCAAAATGTAATTCAATTATTTTTATAAATTTTTTTGTAAATTATCTATAAATAATAAAATCCAATTTCATTCCAAATCTTACAAACCAGATTCACCAAATAATTTCAAATTTATTCTAATCCAAATCCCTCCATGAAATCCATAATCATGCAAACCAAATGGACCCTAAGCAACTGTCGATTTTATAATTCATTTTAACTATAATTAATATAATAAAATGATATAAAAGCTTGTATTATATTATAAAAAATTGGGATAGTGGCTGAAAAGACAAAGCCAAGGAAATAAAAAACAAAGGAGAAAAACAATGTCACAGTCCACATCATTAATATAATCAATCAAAACAACATAATAAGTCAAATCTTATTTTGACTTCTTTTGGCTTTGTTCTATCATACCTTGTGCATACTTGCTTGTACCATTGCCTAATACGTTCCATCAAAGCTTTTTTTTTAATCTTATATTTTGAATTATCAAGGCTTCTCACCCATATACATATATATATATATATATAGAAAGAGAGAGAGACATGTTCAAATGTTAATCAAGATTATTGTGTTAATTTTATTAACCAATATTGGCTATTAATTCTTACAATAAACGGTTGTAATTAATCATGATAAAAAATTAATTTTTTTAAATTTACAATTTCAAAGAAAATATGTGAAAAAAAGGGGAAAAAAGTATTCAGGTAATTTTTTTATGTAATTCCCACATCATTATATATATATATATATAGAGAGAGAGAGAGAGAGAGAGAGAGAGGCGGGTTAGATTACAAACCGTCTGATTCGTGAAAATTATGCAAACGACTCTTGACCAATAGGAAATTTTCGTTTTTTATTCTTTAATTTTAATAAGTAAGGGTATAATTGTCATTTTACTGTATAATGATTAATATTGGAAATGATTTAATTATTTTTAAATATGGAAACGTAAATATAAA